ATTTAGAAAACCTCTTTACAATCCCTTTTAAAGGAAGATAACTTTTAAACTTTAAAACAGCGATTTTTAATAACAAGTTATTCTCCGTTTTATTTGTTGTTTTATGAAGATTTCAAATCTAAAAATTTAGGAAATTAACAAACAAGGAAGAAAGACAAAGCGACTTGAGCAGGTTTTGATCACGAGTCAGTCGATAATTAATGCAATGTTTTTGTTTTTTTTTTAGCACTTATAATTGATATATTTCCTCATATGAACAGTTCATTAGCTGCTACTAATGTTTTGCCAAAGGGTTGTTTTAGATTCCAGGTTTCGTTTGAGTATTCGGTTCGTTAATACTTGGTTTATCTATCCATTGCTAACTGCGTCTTATACCTTGTCTACAATAGTCACGTTTCATGTATCTTCACAATGCCAAGCCATTGCTAACTGCGTCTTATACCTTGTCTACAATAGTCACCTTTCTTGTATCACATCTTTACAATGTCATACTTCGTCTTATGCCTTGAATGCAATAGCCAACTTTCTTTTATCACGGAAAGCAGCGATTTGATTGTACCCTAGAGAATACAGATATTTCAGACGTTCCACTAAAAAATCTCACAATAAACTTTAAGATGTTTCGTCAAAAAATCTCATGACAATCTTTAAGATGTTTCGTCAAAAAATCTCATGACAATCTTTAAGATGTTTCGTCAAAAAATTCCATGACAATCTATAAGATGTTTCGTCAAAAAATTCCATGACAATCTATAAGATGTTTCGTCAAAAAATTCCATGACAATCTATAAGATGTTTCGTCAAAAAATTCCATGACAATCTATAAGATGTTTTTCAAAAATTTCACGACTTTCTGTCAAAAAATGTCACAACTGACTTTCTTTTAGATATTTCGTCAAAAATTCTCAAGAAATTCTACAAACTGGGCCAACGAAGATGGTGAACGTCATACATTGTAGAATCAGGACAGTGGCATCAACCTACTCATTTTTTTATTTTCAGTTGTCGAGGAATTGATCTTTATAGTACACAGCCTGTATTTAGACTGCAGCGTGGTGATAATAGCTCGGGGATATTTTCTGATATTTGTCAGATTTCTATTTGGAAGAAATTAAAGAGATTGTAAAGAGATTTTCTAAATTTTTTATGTGTATCAGAGACACTGATAGCATCAATTTACACCATTCTAATTTTCAATCAGACGTCTGTGGTTCTTGTTAAAGAGATTGTAAAGAGGTTTTCTATATTTTTTATGTGTATCAGAGACACTGATAGCATCAATTTACATCATTCTAATTTTCAATCAGATGTCTGTGGTTCCTGCAATTCCGCTAAGACTAAATGTTTTATGACGTTACTCATTGCGAATATAACTTATCACATAAGATCCTTCGTGATTAGTGATCAAACATTAAGTCTTTGTTAAATAGCAGGAACCACAGACATCTGATTGAAAATAGAATCTCTTTAACTTAGCATGCAATATGATGGGAGCTGACAGCCTCGGGTTGGATGAGTGACATTTCATATATTACTTACGTCATCACGCCGGTTTAAATACTGACTCTTCCAGAGATGTTTGAGAATGAGAGTGTAGCAGACGACTATGATTATTAACGGGACTACGTAGGTTGTCAGGACAACAATAATTGACGACAGGCTGAGTACATATTCGTCATCCATCAGGCAATAAACACCAGAGTCAGGAACGACAACTTGGCGGTAGAAAATCAAATAAGGTACACAAACCATTAGAGATGCTGAAAATATAAAAAGCAAAAAGTTAGAAAAAACGATAGAAAAGGATAATGACATTCAAGTTGGTTAAAGGAAATGGTTCGCCATTTTCGGCTATTGATTTGAGTCTTAAATATATGTAAATAGTCTTCAGAAGTACTACAAATGTACGAAAATCACATAATTCCTTTAAAACCCAGTATCAAGACCCTTAATCCCAATTTCTAAATAAAGTGTCTGCTCCACCCTAGGCCTGTACATTTAGGAGAATTAAACCCTCCCATTCCCGAAATCAAACTAGGAATTTCTTATAGATGTCTTTTCTACATATGGCAGAGTCTCGTGAAAAGACGAGTTGTCGTTTTAACTTTCAAACGCAGATGATTCTAGATACACATGGATTTGAAGGTTCAAATTTCGACGGTGAGCTGTGAACACTATTACTGACAGGGAGAAACTGGGTTGAAAAATCTGAAGGTATTATCTCAACCTATGCTAGGATTGAACCCTGGACCTTCAGGTTAGCGAGCAAGCGTCTACCTCACTGACAGGGGGAAACTGGGTTGAAAAATTTGAAGGTATTATCTTGACCTATGCTTGGATTGAACCCTGGACCTTCAGGTTAGCGAGCAAGCGTCTAACTCACTGAGCCACCACGGCTCCCTATCGACAAAGGAGCTAGATTGAAGGTATTATCTCAACCTATGTCGTGATTGAAATCCAGTAAGCATCATTGTGATCAAGTTATTGATCCTATTCACGGCTGCAGAATTCCGTCAAGATTTATAAAAAACGTAATTGAGTTTCTGTTTTTACAGAAATATAAAACTCATTCAGAAATACTCTTATCTCTATTGTCATATCAAGTTAAATAGACAAATCAAAGGAATAATTACAACGATTTATAACCCGTAGTACTTTTTAAAATTGAAATAGAAATATAGTTTCGCTTGCAATCAAAACAGTTGCTGTCAAGAGGTTGACCAAGGGTAAAAGGATCCTTGTGAACCTAAATTGTTATCCTTGTAAAATCATTACCAAGAGGTTTGACCAAGAACCATCTGGTAGAAAGGATCATTGTGAACCTAAGGTATTATCCTTGTAAAATCATTACCAAGAGGTTTGACCAAGAACCATCTGGTAGAAAGGATCCTTGTGAATCTAAGTTATTATCCTTGTAAAATCAATACCAAGAGGTTTGACCAAGGATCAGCTGGTAGAAAGGATCCTTGTGAACCTAAGTTGTTATCCTTGTAAAATCATTACCAAGAGGTTTGATCAAGAACCAGCTGGTAGAAAGGATCCTTGTGAACCTAAATTGTTATCCTTGTAAAATCATTACCAAGAGGTTTGACCAAGAACCAGCTGGTAGAAAGGATCCTTGTGAACTTAAATTGTTATCCTTGTAAAATCAATACCAAGAGGTTTGACCAAGGACCAGCTGGTAGAAAGGATCCTTGTGAACCTAAATTGTTATCCTTGTAAAATCATTACCAAGAGGTTTGACCAAGAACCAGCTGGTAGAAAGGATCCTTGTGAACTTAAGTTGTTATCCTTGTAAAATCAATACCAAGAGGTTTGACCAAGGACCAGCTGGTAGAAAGGATCCTTGTGAACCTAAATTGTTATCCTTGTAAAATCATTACCAAGAGGTTTGACCAAGAACCAGCTGGTAGAAAGGATCCTTGTGAACTTAAGTTGTTATCCTTGTAAAATCAATTCCAAGAGGTTAGACCAAGGACCAGCTGGTAGAAAGGATCCTTGTGAACTTAAGTTGTTATCCTTGTAAAATCATTACCAAGAGGTTTGACCAAGGACCAGCTGGTAGAAAGGATCCTTGTGAACCTAAGTTGTTATCCTTGTAAAATCATTACCAAGAGGTTTGACCAAGGACCAGCTGGTAGAAAGGATCCTTGTGAACCTAAGTTGTTATCCTTGTAAAATCAATACCAAGAGATACATTTTGCTTGGAATTTACTCGATCAAAGCGATTTGAAAATATACGCCTGATTTAGAATTAACTTGGGCAATTTCATTTTAAATCATGTGAACTTCAATTCATTCAAATCATTTTGGTTAAATTGCCAATAACGTTTAGTTTTTGCATCATTAAATTTTATATGATGGCAACGCGTGATTGAAGCCAAATAACTTAAAGGAATTATAAAGAGGTTTTCTAAATTTTTTATGTGTATCAGGGACACTGATAGCATCAATTTACACCATTCTAATTTTCAATCAGATGTCTGTGGTTCTTGTTAAAGAGATTGTAAAGAGGTTTTCTAGATTTTTTATGTGTATCAGAGACACTGATAGTATCAATTTACACCATTCTAATTTTCAATCAGATGTCTGTGGTTCCTGCAATTCGACTAAAACTAAGTGTTTGATGATGTCACTAATCGCAAAATATGCTTTATCACCTTTGTGTATAATGACGTCAGCAAACATTTAGTTTTAATGGAGTTACTGGAACCACAGACATCTGAGTTAGACGTATATTGGCTAAATCAAGGGCAATAACTCAATAATCACTTAAAGAAGATTATTAAACCCACTGACAAAAAAAACGTTGAAAACTAAAACGAAATTTTAAAAATAGATTTCAAGATTTGAAATTCAATCAAGCAATGAAGGTCGATTTACAACTTTTTGAAATAATTTTCATTATAATCTGTAAGGAACGTTATCAAGAAAGCAGTTACTCATAGAAACAGTTTAAAATTCGGGACTCTGAGACGACGTGATAAGACAAATTCTATATGATGGGCGTCAAACAGGCTTACATCATCTTCACAATGTCAAGCTATTATTACGACCTGCTTCTGCAATAGCCACCTTTCTTGTATCACATCTTGTAGTTTGTAATGGCTTGGCATTGTGAAGATGAAGTTTGTAATAGCTTGACATTGTGAAGATGAAGTTTGTAATAGCTTGACATTGTGAAGATGAAGTTGGTAATAGCTTGACATTGTGAAGATGAAGTTTGTAATAGCTTGACATTGTGAAGATGAAGTTTGTAATAGCTTGACAATGTTAAGATGAAGTTAGTAATAGCTTGACATTGTGAAGATGAAGTTTGTAATAGCTTGACATTGTGAAGATGAAGTTTGTAATAGCTTGACATTACGAAGATGAAGTTGGTAATAGCTTGACATTGTGAAGATGAAGTTTGTAATAGCTTGACATTGTTAAGATGAAGTTAGTAATAGCTTGACATTGTGAAGATGAAGTTTGTAATAGCTTGACATTGTGAAGATGAAGTTTGTTATAACTTGACATTGTGAAGATGAAGTTTGTAATAGTTTGACATTGTGAAGATGAAGTTTGTAATAGCTTGACATTGTGAAGATGAAGTTTGTTATAACTTGACATTGTGAAGATGAAGTTTGTTATAACTTGACATTGTGAAGATGAAGTTTGTAATAGCTTGACATTGTGAAGATGAAGTTTGTAATAGCTTGACATTACGAAGATGAAGTTTGTAATAGCTTGACATTGTGAAGATGAAGTTTGTAGTAGCTTGACATTGTTAAGATGAAGTTAGTAATAGCTTGACATTGTGAAGATGAAGTTTGTAATAGCTTGACATTGTGAAGATGAAGTTTGTTATAACTTGACATTGTGAAGATGTAGTTTGTAATAGCTTGACATTGTGAAGATGTAGTTTGTAATAGCTTGACATTGTGAAGATGAATAAACCAAGGACTAACGATCCGAATTGCAAAACGAATCTCTGTAAATACACGAATAGCGCCTCGGAACTTTTGTTTTAACAGTTTTCTAAACAGTATTTTGACAACTGGAAAGAAATACTTTTTCATCGATGTTCTGGATTTAAAGACACAGTGCGTCTTTTTTCTTTGGCCAATCGTACCTTTAACCTTCGTCTCAGAAACCGGAATTTTTTTCGCTAAGCCAATCAGTTTAGTGTCAAAATTTGAGCCGTCAAATCCATGTATTGTGTCCAGAATTATCCAGAAGTGTCTAGAATATGAAAGTTAAAAAGACGAGTCGTCTTTTCTTGAGACGAGATATATAGAAAAGACATCTATAGAAATAGTGAGTAAAATTCCTAGTTTGAGATATTTTTGAAGGAATTATGAGATTTTTGTACATTTCTAGTATTTCTGAAGACTATTTACATATATTCAACACTCAAATCAACCAAGCCAAGGACCATGTATACTGTATTGTTGTATTTTTAAAGGAATTATGTGATTTTCCTACATTTCTATTATTTCTGAAGACTATTTACATATATTCAAGACTCAAATCAACACCCGAAAATGTCCCTTTAAACTGTACAAAAATAAAGCGATTACATCTAATCAAGAACGACGAATTAACTTTCTAGCCCCCGGCTTAAAAAATACTCGCTTTTCTCTCGTCATAGTTTAAGTTGGCATTTAATCTCAGATTAGTCTTTTATTATCACGAATTACAGCCTTTCGCTTTTGGGTGTGATTTCAGATAAAACTGCAAATCGACAGATTGTCATCTTCACAATGTCATCGTCTTATACCTTGACTGCAGTAGCCACCTTTCTTGTATGACATCTTCACAATGTCAATATATTACAAACTCCGTCTTATACCTTGACTGCAGTAGCCACCTTTCTTGTATTACACAATGTCATCGTAGTACAAACTGCGTCTTATACCTTGACTACAATAGTCACCTTTCTTATATCTTCACAATATCTAACTATTACAAACTTCATCTTATACCTTGACTTCAATATTCACCTTCAATAGTATCGCATCTTCACAATGTCAAGCTATTACGTACTTCATCTTATACCTTGACTACAATAGCCACCTTTCTTGTATCTTCACGATGGCAAGCCATTACAAACTTCATCTTATACCTTGACCGCAATAGCCACCTTTCTTGTATTACACAACGTATTGTCAACGAACTACGAGATGCGTCTAATACTTCGACTGTAATAGTCACCTTTCTTGTGTCACATCTTCACTTGTAATACTTTGACGTTGTGAAGATGACAGATTTTATGCTT